TTATAAATATTTAAAAATTAGCTAATATTTATTTTAATAAAATTTAATTTAAAAATATGAACATATAAATATATTTTTAAAATCAATTTTACCATGGTAGAATCAAATTATCATATCCAACCCAACAATTTAAAATTTGAGAAATTTGAATTGACTTATCTAAACAAAATATTTTAAGAATGACAGAAATTGAAATCAAAGTAATTCAAATACCAAGAATTTAAAATTCCTCATCCAAACACACCATAAGGCTTTGAAAGAGAGAATTTGAGAGATTCTAAATATTATTCATCCAAAGTGAGGGAAAAGGTTAGAGTAACAAATATATAGAAGGAGGTAGCTTAGGGAGCAAGCGAACTTTAACCATGGTTCAAGTGAACCATGGTTGAGTTGCTTGACCATCCAAGCTAGTTAAGAAGCTTGTGGAACAAGCTTCTCACTTAGCTTGCATGGGAAGCAAGCTAAGGAGAAGCTTGTAGCACAAGCTTCTCAAGGCTTCCAAGTGTGAGAAGCAATTCGGCCAAAGGTAAAAGCTAAGGCAAGCTAGGCGGCCTTGGTTCCATTTTGCTCCTTGAATTAATTTCAAAAATGTTTGGTTTGGTCTAGTTAGGTCCATCCAAAGATGATGTCACTTAGCTAGATCAAACCTATGAAAAATTAGGAGCAAAATGAGTCCAATATGTAAAGTTTTGCCTAGGCCCAATTCTGGCCCAATTACTAGTCACACTCTCAAGTATTGCTAAATGCTACCCCACTTCTACTACTGAAAAAATAGAAAATGAGTGTACTTCAAAATTAGGTTAAATGGAGTCAAAGTCTCCAAGTAACCTACCCTAGAAACAATATACAATGGTCTATAAAATGAAATAAAGTGCCTCACAAATACAAAGGCAAAAATAAGCCTATACAAGGAAACTATATACAAGTTTATATATAACATATGAAAAGGTTTTCAACATCATCACATTCCTCTTGGTTCTTTTAAAGTATCACCTCTTGGATTCCTTGGACTTGGAATATTTCCATCAAGTGGCTGATAAGAACATACTAGCATCGACGAGTGAAGCCGACGAGCCAGGAGGTGGTCGAGAATACTCACTGCTAGCTAGAAATGGCTGATAAGAAAATACTAGCGCCGGTGAGTGAAACTGGCGAGCCAGTAGTTGTCGAGAATACATGAGGAACCAGAAGTGGTTTAAGAATACTAGAGCTCGTGAGTGAAGCTTTCCAACCAGGAGTGGTTGAGAACACTCGTGACCAGAAGTGGCCGTGACCTGGGTGGTCTAGAATACTCGTGACTAGGAGTGGTCGTGACCTAGGTGGTCTATAATACTCACTGCTAGCCAGAAGTGGCTAATAAGAAAATACTAGCGCTGGTGAGTGAAGCTAGCAGGCTAGGAGTGTTTGAGAATACTCAGTTCCAGGAATAGACGATAATACTCATTGTACTTCATTTCATATCTAGTGGAACCCTTCATTTGAAGGAGACTGGACGTAGCTCAGTTTGAGTGAACCAGTATAAAATAACTTGCGCTGCTAATTCTTATTTTTCAGACGCATATCTTCATTACTGGTTAAACCTTTGTGAAAAACTTCGTCCACCTTGAATCTCTTAGTGAAATCATTTTTTAGACGCAGACGCAAACTTTGTTTAATATATATTTAATACAATGAAAAGTTTTATCTACTGCTCACTACTATAAGATGCATATTCTACATCGGTTCTCTAAAGTCATCTACATAGGTTCTAAAACCGATGTAGAATAGAGCGACGTAGAAAATGTATACATTTTTACATCGGTTCTAAAAAACCGATGTAAATTTAAGCATAAATCTATATCGGTTGTCCAGAGAACCGATGTAGATTTAAGAATAAATTTACATCGGTTCTCTGGACAACCGATATAGATTTATGCTTAAATCTACATCGATTTTCTTGAGAACCGATGTAGATTGCATTTTTTTTTTAAATCATGCTTATTTGCAGTATGTATTTAAGAATTGAATCCATTCTAGCCTCAAGCACAATTAGGAGTATAATCATATTGAACATAAGAACATTTATAAATGATCTTTTTTAATACAAAAAGTAGGTTCAGAACAACCAACTTAGGCACTAGTGGCAATATGTGAACAAATAAAAATACATGAAATGGCATTAAAAAAAGGCATAAACTGAAATATGTTTCTCCCCCTTCAATATTGTCACTCAATTACATTATATTAGTGATGCATTAGAATTTTATTGATCTTGGAGGTAATATACTCTAAAAGGTTTAACTGAGAAGCAATAGAATTCCCCTCCATTATAAAAGAAAAATTAAATAGAAGGAACTGGAGAACATTTATTGGGCACATTCATCAACTTTACAGCTTTGACTGTGAAGATAATCTTGTTTGCAGCTCCTCGGCTACAGCATCTATGAACTCTTCAGTATTCAAATACTGGGATCTAGAAACCCTATACGTAAAAAAGAGCAAGCAGTTTTAGTTTTTGATGCATTAAAAGCAAAAGCAATAGCTAGTAGCATTATGAAAGAAGAATCTCAGTGCCAGAAATTACTTAGGTCCATGAACAAGGAGCTCAAGATCCTTTGTCATCTTTCCCAGTTCAACTGTTCTGATGCAAGCTGCTTCCAGTTTCTCTGTGAAGTCCAACAATCTAGCATTTCCATCCAACTTTGCCCTGTAACAATTAGGATGCGTTTGGAAAACCTTACTTTTATGATATAGCTTTTCAATGTATTTGGATAAGCTTTTAAAAGAAAGTGCTTATATGGTGCCTTTCTTTTCAGATCTTTTCTTAAACTTATGTAAAAACTGAAAAACATCACAACAACTTCTTTTAGGTTTTTGTTGGATCTCTTTTTAAAAAATTTATATAACTGTAGAACTTCTAAACCTGTTTTTAATTATAAAGAAGTTTTTTTTAATAAAAGCAATCAAAATATCAGTTTTCATTGAGCAACTTTGCAACAGAGATTGTATTTTTAAACTACTTGAGTCATGAGAAAATATTAACAGGAGAGTGAATTTACCAAACACCAATTTTAGCTTTCCTGGGCCTTTTATAACTGTATCTGTTGCCCGATATTGGTCTCCAAAAGCATGTCTTCCAATGCATATTGGCTTTGTCCAGCCTAAACAATAGACAGTGACAGATAGTAATCAACACTTGCTATTATAAAGTAAAATTCAAATGTCAAATAAGTTTTAGCATTTCATGAACCTGGAAACAAGGTGATATAATGGATTAAATGCTAAATGAGCAATATGTATTTGGTATAAAAGGTCATAGCATCAATGGCATCTTTTTCAGCTTTACCACGCCTAACAGATAGTTACCACATATTAGTAAATAGTGACAAGGACTAAGACCCTTAAATAAAATATTATAAGGACCAAGACAACAAGAAAAATTTTATAGCGACTAAAACTATAAAGCAGGGACTGGAAACATACTTATGCCTTGATTTAATATATCCAGTTCATTATGTTTTATTCTTATAATTCGGTAGATTTGTTAGATTTATGCATGAACAGATTGAGTGGTTGATGATAAATGGATGCAATTTCCACTGATACTATTACCATATGAAAATTTTAAAGAAATTGTAAATTCAAAATTTTCAATTAAATAATATAAAATAATAGAAAGGAGTACACTAGAGATGAATAGCTAAACCTGCTTATCTCTATTTCCAACAGATGCAAGCCCTATGAAACGAGTGACATGCACAACATCTACATTGGAATATGGTTCACGAGCATAGTATATTCCTTTAGTGCCTGCAATGTGATAACTACCCCTAAAAAAAATCATGAGAAAAAACTGCAATGGCCAGAATCGGCCTTCTTTTACAGAGGCCACAAGAGAGTCCACAAAAGGCACATTTAGCATACCAAATTCCTCCAGGACATATGGCACAAATCCTGATCTATTCATGATTCTCGTATAGCCCTAGTCTTGTAATTTTAATTAATCTCATGCTTATTAACCCAACCAAATCCATTTACTTTTTACTGTTAGTGAAATTGTCATTCCTAGTTACAAGGACCACAAATGCAATATCAAAATTCATTATTCTATAACAAGTATACGGAACATGATAGAACACACAAGCCCTCAAGTGAACAAGGAACCAGCGGCCTTACCCTGTCAAATCTCAAGTGCACAATCCAACCAAAAACTGTGAAATGTAGTTCCCGCATACAATTGTATTCATTAAACATAAAATGCCTAAGATGTTAACTACCTTTATGGTAGTTCCACACAAAACTTTCAACAACAAAAAATGTAGCTGCTGTCTATCTAACAATTACCGTGGTTTGATCTCTTGCACTAACTCTAATATAGTTGAATCACTGCTGACAGCCTCAGAGAGTCCAGCAGGAACGTCCGAAGCAGCTGCTCTATTGGTCACCCCACTTGGCCATTCGTTAGTAATAACAAATCAAGGAAGTGAACAAACAGAAACACATTACATCTAGCCATCTACTTAGCTTATATACAACGTGAGATGAGAAGTAACTAACTAAGAACCTATTTGGATAAATTTATCCAAAAGCAGTTCTAAGAGAGAAAATTATGAAGAAAAAGAAAAAGAAATAAACTTCTCCATAAGCTAATTTATAGAAACTCTTTCCTTTTCTCTAAATTTTATTTTTAACTTATGGAAAAGCTAATTTTGATTTTTCTTCCTATTTATTTTTTCTTTTAGAAGTGCTTCTGAAGGAGTTTATCCTGGTCCTAACTAACTAATCGTATCATTACATGAGTAATGCACATCAATTAAAGCATATGTCAAGAATAAATCAACAATTCCAGGTTCCTCAACAATTGCTCGCAAAGCATCAACATCATCTTCAGTGTAAGTCCCAAACTGTTGAACACTGGAAGACTTCCTACAAGATAAATAGGCCACGGATAACCCTAACATACAACACACGTAAAACCGCTGAAGAAGAGAAACGTAAAATAAGATAAAAGTTGTCGTCGAAGCAACGAACCGAATAGGGAGAATTTGCCACTGCCTTTCAACCAATACAAATTATTGCAAATCTTCAAACCGTCCATCTTGAAGCTGCGGTTGGCAGAGTCCTTAGAAGCTTGCAAGAGGATCTTAGGGGCGGTGACGCCGTAGTCGCCGATGAAGTAAGTCGGGAGGGGAACGACGGAGCCACCGTGGATGAAGGCCGTGAACTCCTCCAAATGCTCGGGCGAGTTAGGGAAGAACTGGTCGACGCACAAGAGCGCGTCGAATGGACCTGCAGATTTGTTGACCTGGAAGCGCATGAAGCGAAATCAGTGTCGTGGTAGTGATGAATGAAACCCTAGAAGAAAGGAAAGAGAGAGTAACCGATGAGACGCGCTTGAAGAGCTGGTTGAGGCGCCCCAAAATGTCGCCACATAGTAGGATTCGAGGGGCCATGCCAACACAGTTTTCGTCTACCTCTTCACTCTAAGTCTCTAAGCTCAACCTTGCCGTTATACTACTACGGTCCCACACGCAACCCAGTCCTTTTTTCTTATTAATAGGGGGAGAGGGATTGGGAGTGGGAGGAGGCCGCTGGGTTTACGTTGCTGATGAGTGAAAGGGGGAAAATTAGGTTCGCATTTTTACATCGGTCATAAACAAAACCGATGTAGAACAACTCTCGAATTTTATTTCTACATTGGTCATAAGCAAAATCGATGTAAATATGTTTTTATTTTTTATTTATTTACAAATTTTTCACCGTATTTATGATTTACATCGGTTCTACTAGAACCGATGTAAATATGACGATGTTAAACAATATTTTTAGAGTAGTGGCTTGTCTTTAAATAAAACTATCTTGAAAAAGTAAATGGAAGAACTTTAATCATTATTGTTATATGAAACATTTTCCTTCCGCAGACGATAAATCTTTCAAACGCAATGACCCTTTGTTCACACACACACATATTCAACCCCCTTCTATGTGTTTCATGTCTAAATTCAATTGGTGTCAGAGCTTAACCCCTTAGGTTGAGCATCTAACAATGCAGGGGTACATAACGATTCATAGAAGAACAAGGACAAAGGAAAGCTGGAGAGCAAGGAAGACAAACGACTGGTATAGGTAAAACAAGTATCATCTTATCTACTCAAATAAAGCATGTTCTATATATATAAAAGTAAATCACATCTGATGTACTAGAATACTCATACATGTACCACTCTATACAGTCAAAAACACAGTAGGAAAGTAAACTCAGTAAGCCACTACATTTGTATATCCCTTAGAATGCTGTAAGAAATTACAGCGTCTGAAACTCTTCATCCAATGAAGAGTGTAAACTTCTTGCTCTACGTCTGAAAATTCTTCCTGTAATATTCTCACTGAACAATCCTCATTAATATGCTCAAAAGAGTCAGAGACAAACATTCTCCACTTTTAAAAAATAAAATGATTAAGTAAATAAACGACAAAACCGTCATTTGGGATCTCTTCTTGAAAAGGAAAATTCCCTTCCTAATATTAATGCGTGTCATATAACATTTTACACGAGGAAGGCTAAAGGGCGCCACATCATGCGAATTATAAGGGAATAAACATAGGGAATATCTTTCTGTTTCAAAACCCTATATCTTCCCTCGTATTTGAAAAACGTACTTCCCACGCCTCATATCTTTGAAACTTAAAACTCTTCATCTCTGTCACAAGAACTCCAAACCCTAATCTCTCATCCCAAACTCCCTTCTCTTCCACTAAAATGGTTGCACAAACTAAAAACATCGCCAAGATGGAAATTCCCGCAGAAATGTGCGAAGCCACTGACTAGGCTCATATTTTCTCTATAGAGGAAAAGCCAGTTATGCACTTAAAGCATCGCTTCAACATTAACAAAATGCAGGAATGGGGTATACCTATCTGTGAGGATTAGGCGAACTGCAGAATCCTTGGGTATTTCATCATTAAGGAAGTAGTTTACCCTGGTATGATTGTAGACCCCTAAAATTGTCCGGATGGGTTACTCTCGTAGAGAGGATACATAGGTTTCTACACTCATTAAGGTTTCACTACCTTAGTCCTACAGAGATTCTGAAGATACATAAGGTTACAACACTCACTAAGGTTTCCTTCCTAAGATACACTTGGAACACCTTAGACTACAGAGATGAATACAATGGTACATTGTAGATTTGACTATGAGGAATCGATCTCTGATCTCTCTATTTTTATTTTGGGCTTGATATTATTTTTGGTGCTTAACGTTCAGAGCCCAGCGCAATGCCTATAGTTGTTCTTTCGTTGCTTCTTGTCAACCTTTTTCGGTTTGAGGTTATTGCATACTTATAGGCCTGTAAAATTTTCTCGTTGCATATGTCCATTGAAGCTGATATAGTCATTCATGACTAGTTTGATCCTCTCATTTAATGTATTTGGTCTTGAATTAAATGGTGCTTCCTGTTTTTAGACATTACGTGTATTCTTCTCTGTCCTATTGTCAGCAGTGTTTGAATTTATCTGAGGCCTAGAAATTGTTTGTCTTTTTCTGGTCATGTAGCAATATAGTCGTTGTCCTTTTCTAAAAAAAAGTGATGCACTTTTTCTGACATATGCATGCTTTTGCTTTTGCATGCTTTTCTTCTTCTTCGTTTCTTCATTTAGATCATGCGTTTTACATTGAGAGCTTCTGTGTGGTTGTAGACAATGCCTTGGTTTGTCTCTTGAGACTTGATTCTTCAATTGCTTGCGTGGCAGTCTTCGTCTTCGTCTATTGATTTTGTGCATCTCAATCTTGACCTACGTCTCAGCATTTGAGTTTAATGTTTTGTTTTTTCTTTGATCTAGTCAACAATGTGAATAGAAAGATATTGTTTCCATCTGGAGTGTCTTTTAGTCTATGCTGTCCTTCGTCTGATGCGTCGTTGACTTTCTTCTTATCTTTGTCTCACGCTTGGTCCATTTCTTCACGTTGTACTGGAGGTTGTTCTTGACACACATCCATATGATATTGGACTCATAGTCGTTTGGTGCACATATTGTACTTTGTCTATTCAATTGGCTTGAATTGTCTAGTTCTCATGATGTGCCTTGCCTTAAATGTTCTTTTGACAGAGTTGAGCATCTGGCTTCTTTTAATGTTCGACACCGCTTTCCTTGTTCCAGGTTTGGTCTTGCTTTGGCTTTTCTTCTAATACTCCAATGTCTCTTTCAGTAGTAGTCCTCATCTGATGTTTGTTGAATGTTCTTCCGTCCTTGAGCAGACCTCGTTTTGATGCTTGACTAACCATCATCTAATTCTTTTGTTTAGTTTGCACAGGCTCCGTTGATTCTTGATTTAATGCATCTAATCTTGCATTAAATGTTTACTTGTTGAATCTGTGTTTCACGGAGTCTTTTTGTACTATTTATTTGCTTCTATATCTCGCATTAATCATGACCTAGATATCTCTGTACTTTCCTGGTGTTGTAGCTACAAATACATTGTCCTTTGGTGACTGGTAGGTGTACTAGCTCTGACACATGCGGCTTTGATTTATGGATAAGAACTAGTCTTACTTTTCTCTTCTCTCTTCTTCTATTTTGATGACTTCATGTGTTATTCTCAGAGTGTGGATGCTAGGTAGTCCTTCTCGTTGTGACTTCAGACGCAATCCATCCTTCTTGGTTTTTGTCTATGCATTTGAGTCTCTGTCTGGTCATCTTGTCCTCGTCCATGGTCTTGTATCATCTGAGGCTTTATTATTTTCCTTCTTGTGTTGAGTTTGATTTTGCATGATCTCCTCATCTGTCGTCTTGTTAGCTTTTGCTCTTCATCATGGTTTCTCGTGCTCTTGTCCTTATTTCCTTTGTGTCTGTGTTTGTGGGTGTCTTCATCTGATGTATTCCCTTTATTTGATCAGCCTTTATCCAGTGCTTAGCTAATATCTCTTGGTTTTGGTGTGGACGGTAATACATGCATATTCTCTGATAGACCATGGGCCAAGGGCCCAATTACCAGAGCTATGGCTAGAAGGATACAGGAGGAGTTGGACCTTGGGAAGACTAGTGGGCTTGTCAAGCACAAGGTATTCTTCACTTGGAATACTCTATCATGAAGAGAAGGCCTAGTTCTATTTGTGTATATTGTACATATTATACATAGTCTTTTGTATAGGTTATTTTTGCCTTTGTATTTGTGAGGCACTTTACTTGCTTTTTATAGTGTTTTGTATATTGATTTTAAGGTAGGTTACTTGGAGAGTTTAACTCCATTTAACCTCCTTAGTTGATACATTCATTTTGTATTTTTTCAGTAGGGAAAAAGGGGTGGCATTTAGCAAAGCTTGAGGGTGTGACTAGTAATTGGGCCAGAACTGGGCCTAGGCAAAATTTTTCATATTGGACTCATTTTGCTCCTAATTTTTCATAGATTTGATTTAGCTAGGTCTCATCATCATATGATGAACCTAACTAAACCAAATCAAGGATTTTCAAATTAAATCATGAAGCATTTTGAACCAAAGGCTGCCTAGCTCTTTTCTTTCTCCTTGGCCGAATTTCTAAGTTACACTTCTAAGTTTTTGAAGCTTGCCTTGCAAGCTTCTAAACCTTAGAAGGTTAAGCCTACCTTACCATGGTTCTTAAGTGAACCATGGTCAAGGTTAGCTTCTCCTACAAGCTAGCTAAACCGTGGGAGTTAAGTCTACCTTACCATGGTTCCTAGTGAACCATGGTTAAGGTTAGCTTCTCCTAGAAGCTACCTCTAACCTATATATTTGTAATTACCTCTCTTGTACTCACTTTTGAACAAATTGAGAAATAAACTTCAGATTTCTCTCTCAAGAGTCACTCTCAAAACCTTGGAGACACTTTCTTCTCTAAGGTTTCACCAAAGGTTTCAAACCTTGCCTAGGTTCCTTAAGCTTCTACATCAAACTAGAAGTGACTGAACCTTCTTCAATGACTTCTACTCCATTGGAGCTTGCTTCAAGGAGTTTCGGATCTCTTTTCAAGGTTACCTCAAGAGTTGCTTCGGTCCTAAGCATGGAGAGCTTGAAGGAACATCAATCTCCTCCAAGTAGCTCCATCATTTTTGGTATCTAGAGCCTAGTGCTCTTGAGGTTTTTGTCTCTAATTTTTTCTACTTGAATCCGTGTTGTATCTTCCTTTGCTATGTCTAAATTTATGTTTTCTGCATGGATCTAGTTCTAATATAATTTTTGATGGATCCTATATGTCTAATATGAAGTAATTGATTCATGTTTGCTTGTTCCTATTCTTGTGAATCAATTTCGGTTTTGGTGCTTTAGGTACTCTTAAACTTGTGCGTTTTTAATTTTTGTTTGAGTATCTCCATTCATTCACATGTGTCCGTGATTGGACAACATGCATTGAGTATAGATTTTGTTTTTGAATCACTTGTTTTGTCTTAGAAAGTCATGTGTAGTCCTTTTACTTGTTGAAACTTCCTAGACTAGCTTGTTTGACCTAATTTTTGTTTTGTGTTTTTGTATCCGAAATTTTTTGTATTTTCTTATTAAATTTGTACCTTACTATATGTGCTTTTGCTTTACATGATTGAGTTCCTAATTTTCTATTAGTTCTAGCAAATTTCCTAGAGTTAGGTTTCTA